GGAGGTCGCGGGGATCCAGGCCTGAGGCGCAGTTCCCTGAATCTTGCGCTTCGAGGCACGAAGCGCCGTAAGATTGCCCTGCTCTTGCGCCGCTATTAGGCATCGCCGCCGCACGCCTCTGTGACTGCACTGTTCAGTCGGGAGACAGTAAGACTGGGCGTGATAAGGAGAGCACGGTGATTTATGATCACTCTGCTCGGCCGCTAGCATTTTGCACGGCCACCGCAGGTATCATTTACTATCTTAGTACAGTCAGGAGGTTGTACGACTGGGGCTGCGAAAGAAAATGAAACCATGCATCGGGAATGTCGTACTTCTCATTGTTATTACCAGAAGTTTTGCACAATGCCCGTGGTCAGTGGTGAAGCTCGGATGCGTACCCCAGTATGCCATAAAGGTAAGCACCCAGATCTTCATACGTTGGAATGTTCTTGTGGCGGTCCCGGCGACCCCCAAAACAACCGAAAAACATCTCTTGCCCACTAAAGCTTTTTGAGTGCCAGAAACCTGGTAGTGGGCAAGAGCCTTTTTGGTGCTTCTGTGCAGCTAAATGTTTCTCGAGACCCGACATGCGGCCATTACGATTAATCCGCGAAGCCGGTGGAACCACAAACTTATCACAGGGAAGACCCAATGATCTTGCCCAGAACAAGACAAACACAAACATGAGCTTTGCCCCTAGGGTCTTTCGGGATCGAGAAAGCTGATATTGAGCACGAGGGTATGTAGTTTAGTTTGCTTCGAGCCTACCCTTCGACGTTGATTGGATGCGCATTCAGGCCACCTAGATCTTTAGATCTCTAGGTGGCCTAGATGGAGCTCCTAGGCCGAATGGTCTGGGATGAGGCCTTTCACGGGGGGGGGGGTCGCCGGGGGGGGTCGCCGCATCCTCCCCGGGGGGTCCCGGAGCTCAGAAAAGCTTCAAGACGAGCCAAGAGCGCCAGAAGACACCCCCAAAAGGGTACAAGAGGGCCTCGACTCGAAGACGATCGCCCCAAGACGCCCAAGACGGCCCGAAGACGGCCCAAGAGGCCCTCAAGACGCTCCAAGAGAGCCCCAAGAGCACTCCCAAGAGGGCCCCAGGAGCCAAAATCGTCAATTTTACATCGGTTTTTGAATGATTTTGGCCTTCTCGCCTTTTCGGCTTTCCGACACTCCAAGACGGCCCAAGAGGCCCCCAAGAGGCCCCCAAGAGCGCACCAAGAGGCCTACAAGAGGGCCCCAAGACGGCCCAAGAAGGCCCCAGGACAGCCCAAGAGGCGCCCAAGACGGCCCAATAGGGCCCCAAGACGGGCCCAAGAAACGGCCAAGAGGGGGACGAGGAACCGAGAATTCGAGACTTCCGCCCTAAGAGGCCCCCGGGAAGCCCCAAGAGGCCCCCAAAAGGCCCCAAGAGGCCCCCAAGCGGCGCCAAGACGCCCCCAAGATGCGCCGAAGACGGCCTCCGGAAGCCCCAAGAGGCCCAAAAGAGGCCCGAAGAGGCCCCACAACGGCCCCAAGAGGCTTCAAGTTGCCTTCCAGACGCCCCCGAGAGGTCAACCACGAGATCCCAACCAACATCCATAAGGCCTCCTCCTCCTCCCCCTTCACCCTTCCTCCTCCTACTCCCTTCCGCCTCCTCCTCCTCCTCCTCCTCCTCCTCGTGCCCCCCCCCCTCGTGTTGTCTTTCGTCATATTCAGGGTCGGCGGCAACGGCCGTAAGGCCTTCGCAATCTTCGAAACAGTGCATTACCCCTGAGACATTCTCATCAACTTATAAGAAGGATGACTCGTGGCCCGACGCATAAAAGGAAGGTCAGAGACACGATAGGAACTTTGGAATGGACAATACACTGCGGCCTGCCCGCCTACTGCGGCAATTGAACCGCGTGCAGCCCCATGGAGAAAGAGATACAAAGGTTAAGGGGGGATGCGTTTTTCCTGTATGCCGGGGGTTGCGGTTACGATTGCGAATGGAATGCGACGGTGTTGGCTCCCCGGGGCTCTCTTGGAGATCCTCTTGGAGCGCTCCGGGGGCATCTTGGAATCCTCTTCGACCGTTTGAACCGCCTCGTGAGCTGTCTGAGAGCATTCGAGAACGTGTTGGGAGCGATTCGGAGGCTGTCTTCAGTTGCCGAAGGCCTCCTGGAGGAGCCCAAAGACTTAGAATGTGGCGTTGTGGTATACCAAGAAAAAACGTTCGACACGGGCCCAAGGATTCGAGGTTTCCAGAAGAAACCGCACACCGTAGGAGAGGCACTCCTGAAGGAGCCCGAGGACAGAGGATAGGGCTTTTGGCAGGAGCCCAAGGACTTAGGATGAGGTTTTCGGCAAGGACAAGTGCCCTCAGGATGAGGTTTCCCACAAGGGCCGCAGGACGTACGACAGGGCCTCCCGGAGACGCCGAAGGAATTAAGACAAGGTGCGTGAGAGGAGCCCGCAGAACTAAGATAAGGTGTTCGACAGGGGCGCGAGGACTTGGGAAATGAAGCCCAAGGACTCCTGGGAAGGCTGCGACTGGGGCCAATGGGCTCAGGATCAGGTGTTCGACAGGAGGAGCCCAAGGACAATGACAAGATGTTCGACAAGGCCCACGGACTTGGGATAATAAAGTTCCCACTAGGGGCTGCAGGACCTAAAAGAGGAGCCCAAGGACTTATGCCAAGGTGTTCGACGGAGGCCACAGAGACTTCGGGGAAGGCTTGCGACAGGGGCCGCGGGGAGCGTCGGAGAGAGGACTTCGGGACATATGTTTAAGCGAAACCCCATGACGCAGGATGTGTTCGACAGCGGCACGAGGCCTTAGGGTCAGGTGTCCGACACGGGCTGCAGAACGAAGGAGCGGGCTTCCTGGAGAGGTGCATTGACTTAGCATGAAGGATTATTTGAGAGGAGCCCTCGGACAATAATAGGAACAAGCAAACTGACAGTGGGCCAAGATCGTAGGATAAGGTGTTCGAGAGGGGCCTAAGGACATAAACAAAACTCAAAGAGAAGCTCAAGGACTTATGACGCGGTTCCAAGTGAGCGCAAATACTTAGGATGAAAAGCTTGAGAGGAGCTCCCCCGGAATTGGGATGAGGTGTAAGCCGGGGACAACGACGCGCAGAAGAGAACCTCCCTGAGAAGCCCCAGGATTGAGGATACAACGTTTGAGAAAAGGCCACCCGTGTCTCCTGGGGCTTCTTGGCGGGCTGTTCGGGAGCACGGTCTGGAATCGTAGGTACCTTTTTTTTTTCGTGCGTCTTCCAGCAAAAGGCAAAAGCAGTCACCGCTCCTGAGACGTCCAGACGAACACGTTGGACCAGGGCACGCTGGCAGGCAAGGGGCAACCAGTAGACTGAACGAGCTCAGTTCCCTCCTCCTATCCTCCGTCCTCTGTAAGACCGTTCGGCCCCCACACTCAACAATCGTGGAACGAGCCCATGCATCTGGGTAATGAGCGCCTGCGCAGCTTGGCGCGTCTCACGCTTACGGTGGACTTAAAGCCTAGGATCCATGAGCCCAGCTCCAAGTCCTAGAGTCTGGCTGCATCCTCTTTCGCAGGCGCAATTGCCATTCAGCGGCTGCGCAAGCACTGCCCACTCAACGACTGAATTCAAGAAGGGACACGCTGTGACGCTGAACACATGCACGGGAAGCCATTGTCGCCTGCGTATGATCATCTTCACCCAATAAACCCCCTACCGCAAACCCAGCACGGTCGAGATGCTTGATGTAAACATTCAGGTACTGGATCCCCTCCCTCGTGCGCCCATGAGCCACCTTTACATCTACCTTCCCAACATGTTTCCACTTCGATGTTCCGTAGCTCACATCCAGGGCGTGAAAGTGAAGACCGCCAGACCACGTAGCCTCTACCCACACCCCTGTCATGTTCAATTCTCGGAAGTACAAGTCTGCGCACTGCATACCCATTTGCACCGCTTCAGCCTCTACATGAAGCAGGGCTCTCTCAGCGCGCTCCCCCTTTGGAATGTTGACCAGTGTGTGCTTGCCAGGCCTCCTCAGGTCGAAACGCTCGCCGTAGATGTTTCGTAGGTGTGGGTCCCCTGTGGCAGTCACGGCGCCGCTGGAGACAGCCAACGGTGGAACGGGCCCCGGGGAAGCCGTGGGGCCCGGCGTCGAGAGAGGCGTCGGACGCGGCGTCGGTGGCTGCGTTGAGATGACGGCTAGGGCCGCCGGGCCTCCGATGGCTTGCAGGGGAGCGTTGCCGGACGCGCCGGGCGCAGTGGCGGAGAGCGCGCTGCTGATAAGGGCAGCAAGCCTGGCCAGGTCTTGACCAGAAGCCTGGGAGCTCAACAGCTCTGTCGCGCTGTCCTGAACCGAATGGGCCGTCTCTTCCAGCACGACAATGCGGTAGTCGATGGTGACGTTGCCGGCCAGCGAGCGGCGCGTGGCCTCGTACTCGACGGTGGCGTCAAGACGGCTACCACTGTCAATGCTGCAGAACACCGCGACGTCTTCAGGGGCTACGGTACCGTTCATGTAACTCGCGATCGATGATTGAAGAGCCTCCCGCATGTCTGCGCTGCTGGAACAATCTGACGCAAACTTCTCGGGGTCGGGCACCGTCACAGCGAACTCGCCCTGGACCATCGGGGGGGCCGTCGGGGCGGGGGTCGGCGTGGGCGTCGGGCTGGCCGTCGGACTGGCCGTGGGGCCAGCCGCGGGGCTCGCTGCAGGGCTTGATGTGCAATTTCCGGCGTGATCGACCGCAATCTCTTCCGAGCCTCCGAACGCCTCCGTGGGGGCATTGCTGGCCGCGGCAGGCGCAGTGCTGGACAGCTCGTCGCTGATGATGGTGACGAGTCTGGCCAAGCCCTGACTGGAAGCCTGGGGGCCCAAAAGCACTTCTGCGCTGTCCCGAATCGAGTCGACGAGTCCGACAGGCGCGGCGATGTCGTACTGAATGGTGACGTTGCTGGTACGGTGCTCGTCGACACGCTGCCCGAAGACGCAAAACACCGAGACGTCCTCAGGGGTGACGGTGCCATTGAAAATTGTCGCGATTGACGTTTCTAGAGCAACTCGCACGTCTGTACCGTTGGAACAATTCTCTGCAAATTCTTCGGGGTCGGGGACGGTGAGGGCAAAACCACCTTGAACCGTTGTGCAGACCGTCGGGCTTGGCGTCGGGCCAGCAGTTGGGCTGGCTGTCGGGCTGGCCGTCGGGCTGGCCGTCGGACTGGCCGACGGGCTGGCCGTCGGGCTGGCCGTAGGGCTGGCCGTAGGGCTGGCCGTGGGGCTGGCCGTCGGGCTGGCTGTCGGGCTGGCAGTTGGGCCGGCCGTGGGGCTAGCAGTCGGGCTGGCCGTCGGGCTGGCCGTAGGGCTGGCCGTCGGACTGGCTGTCGGGTAGCGCGTCGGGTTGGGCGTCGGGTAGGGCGTCGGGTAGGGCGTCGGGTAGCGCGTCGGGTAGGGCGTCGGGTAGGGCGTCGGGTAGCGCGTCGGGTAGGGCGTCGGGTAGGGCGTCGGGTAGCGCGTCGGGTTGGGCGTCGAGGGCGTCGGGTAGCGCGTCGGGAAGCGCGTCGGGTGGGGCGTGGGGCTGCGCGTCGGGAAGCGCGTCGGGTGGGGCGTGGGTCTGGGCGTCGGACTGGCTGTCGGGCTAGCAGTTGGGCTGGCCGTCGGGCTGGCCGTCGGGCTGGCAGTTGGGCTTGCCGTTGGGCTGGCTGTCGGGCTGGCAGTTGGGCTGGCCGTAGGGCTGGCCGTAGGGCTGGCCGTGGGGCTGGCCGTCGGGCTGGCTGTCGGGCTGGCAGTTGGGCCGGCCGTGGGGCTAGCAGTCGGGCTGGCCGTCGGGCTGGCCGTCGGGCTAGCCGTCGGACTGCGCGTTGGGTTGCGCGTCGGACTGGCAGTTGGGCTGGCCGTGGGGCTCGGCGTCGAACGTCTCCGTCTCGGCGTCGAACGTCTCCGTCGCGGCGCATAAGAGGGGGGGCTTGGAGCAGGAGGACTATTCCCCTGAAAGAATTGGCCAAACAGGCTTCCAAGTCCCCCAAGCGCAGGTGCTGCACCTGCAAACATCGCACCGCTAAGCGACAACAGCGCAGCCCCAACACCCCCCGCTACAATGCCTGCTAGAGCTGCTCCTATATCTTGAAGAGTATCGTCAAACGAGCTGGCTTCGACCTCGTACCCAAGGGTGACGTTGCCATCAACCAATTTGCAGAACACATTGATGGCCTGAGGGTCGACGGTGCTACCAAGTTCACCATCGAGGTAGGTCGCAATCGATGCTTGAATATCCGGGTTATTTGTACAATTTGCCACAAACTCTTCTGGGTCGAGCACCGTTGCAGAGAGCTCACCGTACACCGCTGGGGGGGCCGTCGGGGCGGGGGTCGGGCTGGCCGTCGGAATGGCCGTCGGGCTGGCCGTCGGGCTGGCAGTTGGGCTTGCCGTTGGGCTGGCTGTCGGGCTGGCAGTTGGTTTGGGCGTCGGGTAGGGCGTCGGGTAGCGCGTCGGGTTGGGCGTCGGGTAGGGCGTCGGGTAGGGCGTCGGGTAGCGCGTCGGGTAGGGCGTCGGGTAGGGCGTCGGGTAGCGCGTCGGGTTGGGCGTCGGGTAGGGCGTCGGGTAGGGCGTCGGGTAGCGCGTCGGGTTGGGCGTCGGGTAGGGCGTCGGGTAGCGCGTCGGGTTGGGCGTGGGGCTGGGCGTCGGAGTGGGCGTGGGGCTGGGCGTCGGGTTGGGCGTGGGGCTTGGCGTTGGGTTGGCCGTGGGGCTGGCCGTCGGGCTGGCCGTAGGGCTGGCCGTGGGGCTGGCCGTCGGGCTGGCCGTCGGACTGGCCGACGGGCTGGCCGTCGGGCTGGCCGTAGGGCTGGCCGTGGGGCTGGGCGTCGTGGAGATCGATGATGTCAGCAATGCAGCGACAATGTCTCCATCCCTTTCTGTGGATACCGCTAGTCGAACTTGACTTGGAAGTGATTGGAACGGTGGGCAATTTACACCGTTGACGGCAACGGTCATTGTTGCGAGGGACATGTCGATCTGCACACGGATCACATCACCAACTTGAATACCGTGATTTGAACAACCCTGCCAACTACTTTGACCCCACTTGTTGCCTAGAAGTTGGAGACCTCGACCAGATTGGCAATTGTACCCATCAACGCTGCTGTGGTAGCATCCGCTCTGTCCAAGATCGTACCCTTCGAATACGACACCGAATGCTACACTGCAGCCTGGCGATTGAGTACAGCCATGGGACGACGCGACATATGCAAACGATGCCGTGTAAGTCCCTGACTCTATCCATGGGCCAAACGCTATGGTCCTCCAGAGCCATGATGAAGCCGCACTCCTTGTCACCGTTGAGCCGTCGACGACGTACCACGTGTTGTCTGGCTGCCAAAGGGACACCGGCGAAGTAAACACCTGCAATGACGCGCCGTACTCGTAGAAATACAACAGCACACCCCTTGGGGGGCTTGCCACCGACCAAGAATGGAGCCTCACACCGTTTTTGTACACGACAATCATGTTCGCCTCCCACTGAAACCTGAACACATCATGCGTCGTGTATGTGCTGTCGGCTCTACCAGGTATGTAGACTCGCCCTGCTGGGAAAAGGCCTATATATGCTCCATTCGGGTATTTCGAATTGTCTGTCAGATCAGCGGTGAGACCAACCCGTTTGTGTGCCCATGTCTCTTCAGCCTGGATGCTTACGCTTACAATGCCGTGCGCACTCGCCGAGGCATCGTACGCCGACCCACTGGATATTTTTCGGATCGTGTTGCCCACTCGCACGGCTTGCGTGAGCGTCCATGCTGCCGACGGGTCAATGTGCACGTAGTGGAGGCAGTATCCTTCTCCACATGAATATGCCATTGTAGTACCACTGTCCCAGAGACTGCTGATTGATGCACGCGTCAGGCTGTGATACCCTGACACATATCGGGCAGATCGCGAACCTGTTTCAACTCCGTTCACTATGGTTACACCAACCATCTTGGTGTAGCCCCCATGGTAGACAGCGAAAATCCACAAAGTGAAATCGCTTCGGTGCAGGACTGCACGGACATTATTGTACTGGGACAACATAGCGCTGCTTGGACCGACTTGCCCAGTCACGGTAAGCACTCTCGTCTCAGCACCCTGATGCGGGCATTGGCTCCCTCTCGCCCACCCATAGTCGTTTCCCGTGTAGATGCTGCTCGACCCTGCGAGCGCGCAGTCGAACCTTGAGCAGCTGCCTCCACATCCACAATTTCCAACCCACCTGCAATAGTCGTTGCAGATGCCCTGCCCCTGGACGTCGTACCACCCGCGCTCACAGCTTCCTCCGTAGCCCAGGTCTACGATGTTCTGCTGGGCTGGTAGTATGTAGCGATCTTCGAGATTATTCGGATCGAAGGGGTAGATCACTGGGGAGATTAATGGAAAAGTAGAGGCGTTGGTCCGCTCGGCCCCCTTGCCGTCGGCATCGCCGCTCTTGTCGTCAGCGTTCAGCTGCAGCGAGCCCGCGTGACTGAATATGGAAAGCATGATTGCGATGTGTGTTGGCCCAACGCATCCTGGAACGAGCGGCGGCTCGCCTCAGAGCAAGAGGTCTGGCGATGTGTACGTGCGATGCCGGAGTGCACCGAGATCCGCTTGTATGCTTCAGCTCAAACGGCTTGAGCTTGAGCCAAAATGGAGGGCCCGAAAGCCTTCTCGGAGGCGTCTTGGAGGCAGGGTTGGCTCTCTTGTGCGCCTCCTAGTGGCATCTCCGCGCATATTGGAGACGTCCTGGAAGCCTTTTGGGTGCCTGTTGGCTGTTGCCGTGCTGACCTACGCTACGCGACAATATGCAATGATAAGAGACGCTGTGATACACGATGCTAGTATGCTATGCTGTGCGAAGCAATGGAATGCCTAGCTATGCGACCCCTCCCTCCCAATTACGACAGCATGGCAGCCTTGGCATAACCGCCACCCCCACCCCCGAATAAAACCAGCACGACGTCCTTATGAAACCAATCCCCTCACCATCGAAGGTAAACCCGAATCAGAACCAGGACAACGTCATTGAACCACGCCCTCCAATTGCTGTTGGTGCTCCCCTCCTCGTCCTCCTCCTGGTCGTCCTCCTCCTCCTCCTCCTCCTGCTCCTCCTCCTCCTCCTCCTCCTCCTCCCCCTTTTCCCTCTTTACCCAGTAACATGTCGCGAACGCTTCCTGCGGCACAATGCACGAACAAGATGAGGTACCCTCCTCCTCGCGTCTCTGCCTCACCCCCCCTTCTCCTCCTCCGTCGGCGTCTGTGTAATGATGTGCCGTGCGCTGCTCTGCCTCGCTATGATTGCTACGATATGCCATCCTATGCCATGCTATGCTATGCCGTGCTACGCGATGCTACACTACGCTATGCTATGCCGTGCCGTGCTGACCTACGCTACGCTACAATATGCAATGATAAGAGACGCTGTGATACACGATGCTACTATGCTATGCTGTGCGAAGCAATGGAATGCCAAGCTATGCGACCCCCCCCCTCCCAATTACGACAGCATGGCACCCTTGGCATAACCGCCACCCCACCCCCGAATAAAACCAGCACGACGTCCTTATGAAAACCAATCCCCTCACCATCGAAGGTAAACCCGAATCAGAACCAGGAAAACGTCATTGAACCACGCCCTCCAATTGCTGTTGGTGCTCCCCTCCTCGTCCTCCTCCTGGTCGTCCTCCTCCTCCTCCTCCTCCTGCTGCTCCTCCTCCTCCTCCTCCTCCCCCTTTTCCCTCTTCACCCAGTAACAAGTCGCGAACGCTTCCTGCGGCACAATGCACGAGCAAGATGAGGTACCCTCCTCCTCCCGTCTCTGCCTCACCCTCCTTCTCCTCCTCCGTCGGCGTCGCCCAGGGTGCCAGAAAACGACCCCAAATAAAACCAGCACGACGTCATTGTGAAAACCAAATCCCCCTGACATCCAGGTGCATCCCTTTACGCCAGCATACGTGTTTAGGAGTGGCCACCCCGAATAAAACCAACACGACGCCTTTTATGAAAACCAATTCTCCCGACACCAAAAAAAAACAAGAATACAACAAGAACGATCTCCTCAAGCAACCACGGGCCTATGGCTATGTGTCTCTCCTCGTTCCTTCGACCCTCCTCCCATCGTACCCGCCCGACTCCTGTACCATCACCACCCTCCTCGTCGCGCTTCGCTCCTCCTTGTCCTCCTCCTCCTCCTCCCCCTTCGCGTCCCCCCGAAATGACACAGAAGTAGACCCCCTAATTCCCCTCTACGTCTGCAAAGCTGCCCGAGAAACACCACCCACGAATAAAACCAGCACGACGTCATTAAGAAAACCAAGTCAGCTGACACGGAAATGAAACCTGAATTAAACCAGAACTGCGTCCTTCACTCCCCCCGTGTACTCCTGACCCTCCTCCTCTTCCCTCACCTTCGCCCGGGGTGCCAGAACACGACCCTGAGTAAAACCATCACAACGTCCTTAGGAAAACCAGGCCCGTCCGACATCCAAGTAAACTCCTCTACGGCAGCATAGGTGCATAGGGGCAACCAACCCGGATGAAACCAGCACGACGCCTTTATGCAAACCAATTCCCCCGACATCAAAGTGAACACCGAACACAACCAGAACGCCCTCCCTATGACCCCCACCATGGTTATTTGTCTTTTCCCGTTCCTCCGACCCTCCTCCCATCATACCCCCCGCTCTCCCGTACCATCACCACCCTCCTCATCGCGCCTCGATCCTCCTCCTCCTCCTCCACCTCCTCCTCCTCCTTCCCCTCCCACCTCGCCTCCACCCGTAACGTCAAAGCAGTAAGCCTCTGATTCCCCTCTACGTATGCATGGCTGCCCAGTAAACACCACCCACGAATAAAACCAGCACGACGTCAGTGAGAAAACTAAGTCAACCAGCAAGGAATCGAACTCTGAAGTAAACCAGAACGGCGTCCTTCACTCCCCCCCTTTCCTCATCACACTCCTCCTCCTCCTCCTCATCCTCCTACTCCTCCTCCTCCTCCTCCTCCTCCTCTTCCATCGGCTTCGCCCGGGGTGCCAGATAACGACCGCGAATAAAACCAGCACAACGTCCTTACGTCCTTATGACCCCCCAGACATCCAAGTAACTCCCTCTACGGCAACATGTTTGTACAGAGCCAACCACCCCGAATGAAACCAGCACCACGTTTTTATGCAAACCACTTCCCCCGACATCAAAGTGAACCCCAAAACTTATGGTTGTTTGTCTTTCCTCGTTCCTCCGACCCTCCTCCTTTAATACAACCCGCTCTCCTGTGCCATCACCACCCTCGTCCTCCTCCTCCTCCTCCTCCTCCTCCTCCTCCTCCTCCTCGTCCTCGATCTCATCCTGCTCCATATCCTCCTCCTCCTCCTCCTCCTGTTCCATATCCTCCTCCTCTTCCTCTCCCTCCTCCTCCTCCTTCTCCTCCTCTTCCTCCGTCGGCCCGAGGACCTGTAACTTCAAGTGGTCCAAACGCGCTGTGCATGAAACTGGGGTCCCCAGAACCGTTTCTGAGGATCCGCAGTGCCCTGATTGTGCAAGTGTGACTCTGGGCTTGCGTCATGGAGCCAGATTTTGGCGATGGCTGCGGCTTGGGGCCCTCTTGGGGGAGTCCTTTGGGCGCCGACAGGGGCCGTCATAGGCGAAGTCCCGGGCCTTTTGGAGCTCCTCTTCAGCAATCTTGGGCCCCTCTGAACCACCTGGGAGGATGCCGCCTGAGGGCGATTGCCGTTGGAGCTTCCCGCAAGTTGGACACCTCTGGGGCTCTCGTGGGGACCTCTTGTAACCTTCTGGGGGCTGTCTGGGCCGTTCTTGGGCCATCCTGGCGCCGTCT